GATACTATAGTGAATAATGGTTATCAAGATGGATTGTGAGTGTTGGAAATGCAAGGGTAGATGTTTTCTAGCAAGGAAGAGAGCAATTATTTTCCCTAGTCTAGGAACAGAGGTCTCTGGGACCAACAATGGACAAGAGCCGAGAACGGGACTCCACCCAGAGAACTGGGGATGCCTGAGATGGAGACAGAGATGCTGACATGGAGGGATGAAGTGGCTGGGGACTTTGGATCCAGAGAGGGAGAGGAACTGTGGGCCGAAGACTGAGGGTGGAGGGGGGAATGTAGAGCACAGGCTTCTAGGACATGCCCTTTGGTCGGAAGACGATGCATGGAGGGGATTGGAACCATGGCAATGTAATGATATACGATGGAATGAATATGGAACTGAGGTTCTCTTATGTAAACTATCATATAATTCACAATAAAACATCAAAAAAAAAAATGCGGGTTGAGGACTATAAAGGCATGGCACTGAACCACAAGGTCAATTTGAACTGCAGAGTTGGTGGTTCAAATTCACCAGTCGATCCTGGGAAATCCACTACAGGGTTGCTATGAGTCAGATCCAACTTGATGGCACTTAACAAACATGAATAAAGACATAAAGTAGATCACTTACAAGCTTTTGTGGGTGTGCTTAGTTTCAGAGTGAAGGGGATATGGTAGAATTCCTATTGAATAGTTTTCCTCTTTTCCAGATGGGTCTTGAGATAGGATTTTATGAATTCATTGTAATTGTTTGTTAGTAGGATTAATTGTGATTGTCAAAACCGTAATTGTAGAAAGTGTGTAACTAAAAGGATGAAGTAGTCGATCTGTCATTTCAGGAACAGATGAAGATGATCCCAGGACCATCAAGAGGGAAGAGCATGAGTGAAGTGTGGGATCCATGTTTGGAAAAGCAGTTACAAAAGATGACTGCAGAGGAGGTAGCGTGGAGAGACAAAGCAGCTACAGATTTTAGGCTCATGTACTGAGTAAGGCTGTATGCCTATGGGCAGGAGGATGGCTTGCAGAATATTCCCTTTTGCCAATTGAATGAATATATACTTTTTGTTTTGTTTTATATGTGTGAATGAAATATTTTTGCTTTGTTCATTTGTGACATATAAGATGCAAATGGAGCCAATGTATTTTCAGTTGTACGTATTTTAGTTACAGTAGGCACAAGTATGACTATAATTTTTCTTATTTAGAGATTATACATATAGTTTATAGGTTTCAAGTTGAGAAGGGTGGACTGTAATGGTTAGGGTTTTGTGTCAACTTGATTAAGCCAGGATTTCCAGAGGTTTGGCAGTTTGAATGTGCTTATTCGCATGGGGATGAGATCTGATGCAGGCATAGTTAGCTCTATGGTGAGTGGCTATGAGCAACCAATCCGTTGATCAGTTGAAGGAATACTTCCTTAGGGTTGGGAGGGTGGAGGCTGCTCCCAATATGATGGACACACAGGAGAGACTATCTCTCTGTTCTACTTGTGACCTGGGACTCTACAACTGTAAACCATTTCCTTGATAATAAACTTCTCATTCATATATATACATACATACATATACACACACACACACACATACACCCACATACAGATTTCACTGGTTTTGCTTCTCTAGGAAACCCGGTCTAAGACAGTACCAAAAAGAATTTGTCAGTATTCAGCCATTTCAAGAGGGAGTATATGATCAAGAACTGATGGTACTGAGGGATAAAATCTAAGCTGCAGACATTGGCAAAAAATAAGCTTTCAGGAATTGATGGAATACAAATAGAAATGTTTCAGCAAACTGATGCAGTGCTAAATACACTTCACTTGTCTATGTAAAGAAATTTGGAAGACAGCTATCTGGCCAACCAGTTAGAAGAGATCTGTATTTGTGGCCATTCCCAGAAAAGTAACCCAACGTAATGCAGAAATCAATGAACAACAGCGTTAATATCACATGTAACTAAAATTTTGCTCAAGATAATTAAAAAAATGATTTAACAGTACATCAACTGGGAGCTGCCAGAAATTCAAGCCAGATTCAGAAGAGGATGTGTAGCAAAAGATTTGTGTATCAAAAACATCTGCTTACGTCAGATGGATCTTGGCTGAAAGCAGAGAATGCCAGAAAGATGTTTTCTTGTGTTTATTGACTATGGAAAGGCATTTGACTGTGTGGATCATAACAAACTATCGATAACAGAACACTGAATTGTGTTTATGAGGAACCTGTACATAGACCAAGAGGCAGTTGTTAGAACAGAATAAGGGATATTGAATTGTTTAAAATTAGATAAGATGTGCACCATAGAGGATTGTATCCTTTCACCATACTTATTCAATTTCTATGCCTAGCAAATAATCTGAGAAACTGCATTATATGAAGCAGAATGTGGCATCAGGATTGGAGGAAGACTCAGTAACAACCTGAGATATACAGATGACAAAACCTTGCTTGCTGAAAGCAAACAGGATTTTAAATACTTACTGATAAAGATCAAAGACTATAAATTTCAGTATGGGTTGCACCTCAATGTAAAGAAAATCAAAATCCTCATGACTGGGCCAATATATAACATCATGATAAATGGAGAAAAGATAGAAGTTTTCAAAGACTTTGTTTTGCTTGGATCCACAATCAGTGGTCATGGAAGCAGCAACTGAACACTCAAACAACATATTGCATTAAGCAAATCTGCTGTACAAGACCTTTTGAAAGTGTTAAAGAGCCAAGATTGTCACTTTGAGGTCTAAGATGCACCTGACCCAAGCCATGTCCAACTTTCCATGTAATTGCCTCATATGTACATGGAAGCCGAGCATTGAATAAGGAAGACCAAAGAGGGATCAGTGCATTTGAATTATGGTGCTGGCTAAGAATATTGAGCTCTGGTGTGGCACTGTAGGATAAGCACTGGACTGCTAAGCTCAAGGTTGGTGGTTCAAACCCTATACAGGGTTGCTATGAGTCAGAACTGATTCCACAGCACTTAACAACAATGGACTACCAGAAGAAGAAACAAATCCAACTGGAAGAAGTAGGGCCAGAATGCTCCTTAGAAATGAGGATGGGAAGCTTTCATCTTTCATACTATGGACATGTTGTTAGGAAGGAACAGTCCATGCTTGGTAAAGTGGAGGGTCAGCGAAAATGAGGAAGACTCTCAATGGGATGGATTGACACAGTCTCAGCAACAATGGGCTCAAACATAACAAAGGTGAAAATGGTGTGGCAGTGTTGCATTCTTTTTGTGCATAGGGTCACTGTAGAGTTGGAACCTACTGGTATAGGTAGGTTCCTCACAATAATAACAACCACCTTTCCCTGAAGAATTCTGTATTCTATGGTTTACCCAATATCAAAATGGCAATTTTGGCGTTCTTGAGGAATTCAAATCATGTTCCTTTTCCATATTCTTTGAGTTTGGGGAACAAAAAGAAGTCTGAAGGGGCAAGATCAGGGATGTAGGATAGAAATGATCTTATGGTATGCCTTGTTAAGGCAGGTGCATTATCTTAATGGGGGGAAATTATTTGGCACAACTTTCCCGGCCTTTTTCTCACCAATGCCATTTTCCATTTTCTTAAAACTTCTTCCTAATAAGTCCCAGTTATTGCTCTATGTCCATTGAGAAAAATCTGTTAAAATTACTTCTTGGAAATCCCCCCAAATAGTGGCTGTTACCTTCTGATCTGACCTTTTTGCTTTGATTTTAACTGGCTCAGTTTATTACCTCAGAAGCTACTGTTTTGGGTGGACCAAGTCTTGGTGTGGCGCTGCGGGTTAATGTGCTGGGCTGCAAGGTTGGTTTGAACCACAAGGTCAGCAGTTCAAGCTCACCAGCTGCTCCCCAGAAACCCTATACAGGGTTGCTATGAGTTGGAACAAACTTGACGGCACTTGACAACAAAAATAAAACTAAGACAAGTGTATTACCAGCAAGAATTTGCCTTCAGAGACATGTTTAAACACGTTTTTTGGAATAAATTTGTGCATGTGTAAATTGGAATCCTTAGTAGCAATGCTGTTAGACTATATTTAAAAAATACACATCATATACATATAATATATGTATATTAATATTTTAAACAAAAAAAACCCATAACGTTTTCTCCCCATAATAATGTATCATGGATAATGTTACTTGTGATTACATATAGATCTAATTCATTTTTTTAAAGAATCACCTCATGATTGTGTTTCATAATAAACTCATCCGCAAATTCCAAATTCGTGAATACTTTAGTTATTTTCAGGTTTTTACTATTATAAACAAAGGAGCGTTAGTAGCATAGTGCTTACGAATCGGGCTGCGAACCATAAGGTCAGCAGTTGGAAACTACCAGCTGCTCCACGGGAGAAAGATGAGGCTTTCTGCTCTCCTAAAGATTTACAGGCTCGGAAACCCTGTTCAGGGTTGCTATGGGTCGGAACCAACTCGACGGCACTTAATAACAACAACAACTACTAGAAATAATCTTGTGATTCAAATTCTTGCACATACAATTTTGGACATTAGTTTGATTATTTCCTTAAGATAATTTCCCCAAAGTAAATTGCTGGATTGAAAGACAAGAATTTTTATTATTATCTTTCAGTTTATTTATTTGTCTGGATATTGCCAGATTTTTCTCTAAAGAGAGTTAATTAATTAGCCTTCTAATAATCTGTAGCATCCAGAGCAGGGAGCATATAGTCCAACTTGAAGTTCTGGAGAAACTTCATGTAGGAGGTGATACTGGGACTGAGTTATAATGAAACTCAGAATCAAAAAGAGCAAATAATCTTCAGGGAGCAAGGATCAGAGAGAGCAAGGGGTGGGATTCCCCCACGGAGTTTACTTGGATTTACTCTTTCCAATACAGGGTGTCACTGGCATTTGAAATCTTTGCAAAAAAAATTACTCCTTGCTTTTTTTTTTTTTTAACTTTGTTTATCTACCAGAGTGACTTTCTAATTCACTTCCTGGTCAGAAGGAAACTGAAACAATGGCTACCAACACTGTTCCCTCGGAGATCATAGAAAGAGAGCGAAAAAAATTACTTGAAATCCTCCATCAAGATCCTGATTCTATCTTAGACACATTGATGTCTCGGAGACTGATTTCTGAGAAGGAGTACGAAACTCTGGATAAAGTTACAGATCCCCTGAAGAAAAGTCGCAAGCTGCTCATTTTGGTACAGAGAAAGGGAGAGGTGAGCTGTCAGCATTTTCTCAAGTGTTTCCTTACTACTTTTCCAGAGTCAGCTGCCACTTGTAACTTAAGTTTAAAGCATGGTAAGTTGAACTTTTACACTCTTTTGGGAGATGAAGGGACAGATTTTCTAAAAAAAGAAAATTATTAACTTTTAGTTTTATTTGTTTTTCTTCAGAAGATGTTCTTCCATGAAATATGATATCAGGGAAAAGTACTAAAACTATAAAAAAGCAGGGCACACCTATTTTATTGATTAAGGAGACTGATAGCTTGTTCATACTGTATCCTAAACTCAGAGTTGTTTAGTGTTAGCATAAATTATGTATTATGTTGGCAGCTACGTCCTGAAATACTCAAGGCTGGGAACAGAAAGCTGTTATGACTACACAGTCTGAGGTTTCTTTACCAAGTAAGTGACATTAGCAGCCTGCAAACCACATGCTGTCACTTGAGACTAGCCATTGTGAAAATAGAAGAAAAACGATTCATAGTTGAGGGATCAGTAACTTAATTTTCTCTGTGAAGAATGCCAGCTTAACCCCAGTTTTCCAGAACAATTCACATGCTAATTATTAAATGGTCAAAGATAATTAGTGGCTTAGGGGATAAGGGATCAGTTCTCCCAGAAAAAATTGTTTAGCATTTCTTTAGATGACCACTATAGGTTGATATAGCTCCTTTTCTAGGATATCAGAATTGTTAAGTGCCATCCCCAAGATAATTTGAAGAGAATCATGTTAGATAGGTGTTGTTGTTAAGTGCCGTCGAGTCGATTCCGACCCATAGTGACCCTATTTAGAGTTTCCAAGGAGCAGTTGGTGAGCTTGAACCGCTGACCTTGCAGTTCAAACGGCTTTGCAGTCTGGCACATTAACCCACAGCACCACACCAGGACTAGATAAATGCTGATAGATCTTAATGTAGGGCAAGACTTACTTGCTTAGAAAAATAGATTTTATTATTTCTGGAACCTACTATTCCAAATTCGAGCTATTTGCTTCCAGATGAGAAATTGAGATCAACATCCATTAGCAATGGCCACAGAAAGTTTGAATTGGTTGTTATTGTTAGGTGCCATCGAGTTGGTGCAGACTCATAGCGACCCTGTGCACAACAGAATGAAACACTGCCCGGTCCTGGGCCAACCTCATAATTGTTGCCATGCTTGAGCCCATTGATGCTGCCACTTTGCCAGGCCATCTCGCTGGGGGTCTTCCTCTTTTTTCTCTGACCGTCCACCTTGGTGGTGGTTTGTGGTTACGTGCTGTGGAGTCGGTTCTGTACAGGGCCCTGTACAGGGTTTCCGAGGCTGTAAATCTTTACGGGAGCAGAAAGCCTCATCTTTCTCCTGCGGAACATCTGGTAGTTTTGAACTGCTGACCTTGCTGTTGGCATCCCAATTCGTAACCACTACACTACCTGACCCTCCACCTTACCAAACATGATATCCTTCTCCAGTGACTGGTCCCTCCTGACAATAGTGTGAAGTATGAGAGATGAAGTCTGGCCATCTTTGCCTGAATTGATTATGGGTCACAGGAAATCCACAAATAAAATCTATTCATAGGGTTAAATGTTCCTGGTTTGTTTGCTTACCTTTTGAGGCTGCTCGCTATGGGTCGGAACCGACTCGATGGCACTTAACAACAACAACAACAACAAATAGAAAGACCCAAGCAAGGCAGGGTGTGATCTGATTTTCTTCAGTAGGATAAAACAGCTGATTTGGTGCTATGCTAATTATGTAGGAAGTGGTGGATATTCGAATCCTTCATTGAAATGAAGAGAAGGGATGGTGCTTTGAGGCTACTGAAACTCAAAACTTGTTAAATTTCTTTTGTCCACTTGGCAAAACCAACCCAACAAAAGCTTTTTTGTCATTTTCAGAAATTTTAAAACATGAGACTACAGAACCTTTTCAATCTACGGGTATGGGCAAAAATTCAGAAGATGCATTTTTCTATGAGACGAAACAGCCTGAGAACCATGAGGTCACAGTGTCCTTCCAAGAGAAAAGACAATTGGATTTGGAAACCTCTGAGTATTTGGGAGACAAGAAAATTAGTGATAGGGAAACTGCTTTGTCCTCAAAGGAGGATGAGAAGGAATATGACACAGCCAAAGACACATTCTCACATGCAATTGAGGATGTTAACTATGAAGTGCCATCAACTGTTGCATATTTAAGGGATGGGCAGAGATATGAGGAATCAGATGATTCTTTATACCTGGGGGAAGAAGAATATCTAGGGTCTGTTGAATACCCTGAAAATGCAGAAACCACAGACAAAGAAGAGTGCTATGACCACCTAGAGCATGTTGAATATGATGGTGAAGAGGACTCTGAGTATTCAGAAATCCCAGAGTTCTCTGGAAACGAGCAGAATTATGAGGACTCACAGACCCACATGATATTGGAAGAAGAGGAGGAGAAGAGTATCGAAGGTATGGAAATGATGCCAACATTTGATGTGTATGGTTTAAGTGTTGTTGTTAAGTGCTGTCATGTCAGACTCATAGCAACCCTATGTAGGCTTTCTGAGAAGTGGCTTGTGGGTTTGAACTGTTGATCTTGCAGTTAGTGCTTATCCTATAGCACCACAGTTTAATTGTTGTTGCTATTGTTAGGTGGCACCTAACAGCAACAACCATTGTTAGGTGCCATTGAATTGGTACTGACTCATAGCGACCCTGTGCACAACAGAACAAAACCCTGCCTGGTCCTTCACCAACCTCACAGGCATTGCTACATTTGAGCCATTGCTGCTGCCACTGTGCCAATCCTTCTCATTGGGGGTCTTCTTCTTTTTCCCCAACCCTCTGTTTTACCAAACATGATCACCTTCTCCAGGGACTGGTTCCTCCTGACCAGTTTAATTAGGCAATAATTCAACTTAAGTTTATGTTTCCATGACATAATGGGGGAAAGGGATGAGGGAAAGCATCAGATGCCAGCAGGAAAGCAACTCTTCAAAAACTCTTGTGCCACTTGAATCTGGCATCTAATCTGAGAAGGGTGTTGATAGGTGGGAACACTGAGAACTTAGTATGTGCTAGATAGTAAAAGCAAATGGAATTATTGATAGCTTCTAGACTTTTACAGTCACCTTTTGTCCTACATATAATTTAGGTTTACCTCTGTTCCTCAGATTAAATAATTTTATTCACTTTAGCACTTTTGTTACCCATGGAATGTGGGAAAGTTGGGCCTAAATCGTGAAGTGGAGACAGTCAATAGAGCAATTTACAGTGAATAGGTTGTTGTTGTTAAGTGCTATTGGTTCTGACCTGTATCGACATTGTATAGGATTTCAAGGAGCAGCTGGTGAGCTTGAGCCACCAACCTGGTGGTTCAAACTGACTTTGCAGTCCAGTGTATTAACCCACAGTGCCACATCAGGACTCCATAGTGACCGGGTAAGGTCCATAAATATTATTCCTAGGCTGATTAAGACCGTATATTACCTTGAAAAGGAAAATTGTTTCAGTACCTTAAATTTGAATATACTTTAAAATTTAATACGCAGTTGTGTTAATTAAGGAATAGTTTACATATAATAAAAATGCACTGCTTTAAAGTGGATCTTTTTATGAGTTTTTACAAATTTCCTGGTGTGTTAGAGTCCTGCTGTGGCACTGTAGGGTAAGCACTGGACTGCTAACTGCAAGGTCAGTGATTCAAACCCATCAGCTACTTCTTGGAAACCCTATTCAGGGTTGCTATGAGTTGGAACAGATTTGAAGGCACGTAACAGCATCAACAACCATGATCAAGCTATGTTGTTGTTGTTAGGTGCCATCAAGTCGGTACTGACCCATAACGACCTTATGCACAGCAGAATAGCACATGTCTATCTACCCCCAATGAGTCCTGGTGTGGCGCTGTGGGCTAATGTGTCAGACTGCAAAGTCGATTGAACTGCAAGTTCAGTGGTTCAAGCTCACCAGCTGCTCCTTGGAAACCCTATACAGGGTTGCTATGGGTCGGAAGTGACTCAACAGCACTTAACAACAACAGCAACATCTCCCCCCAAAGTTTCCTGTATCCCATCCCAGACTACGTCTCTTCCTCCCACTCCCTCTATATACAAACTTGGGTTTTAGGCAAACCCTAGTCTGTTTTGTATAAATCTGTGTGGACATATGACTTCATTTCTTTTGGGTAAATACCAAGATATGGAATTGTTGATTCGTATGGCAAATGTATTTTTAAAAATAATTTATTTTTATTGTTGCTGAGAATATACACAGCAGAATATATACTAGTTTACCAATTAATTTATGTAAAATTCATTGACATTGATTAAATTCTTCAAGTTGTACAACCTTCTCACCATCCATTTTAAAGTTGTTCCTCACCCCAGTTACCACAAACTCATTGCCCTCTGAAGTTGCTATCTAATCTTTTGAGTTGCTGTTGTCAATTTGATACCATATAGCTAGTTCTTAAACAAACACAATGCTCAAGGTAGACAATCTTTGCAAGTTAAGCTAACTGTAGCCCTGGGCTCAGTGGGTTAAGCATTGGGCTGCTAACTGAAAGATAGACAGTAAGAACCCACCAGCCACTCTGCAGGAGAAAGTTTAGGCAGGTTGCTTCCTGAAAGATTTACAGCCTTGAAAACCTTAGGGAGCAGTTCTACTGTCCTGTAGAGTCGCTATGATTCTGAACCAACTTGATGGAAATTTTCTTTTTTGGTATTATTTGGTCTTAAGAAGATCTCAAGGGTTCTTTTTTTTTTAACTTAAGGTTTAAAGATTATCTCAGGGTAGTAGTTTCCCTGGCTCCAGAAGGTTCTCAGTACTTAAGAATTTAAAATTCCATTTTCTATTTACCCCCTTTTGATCAGGATTCTTCTATACAATTTTTGCTAAAAATATTCAGTAGTGGTAGTTGGGCATTATTCAGTTCTTCTGGTATAATGGCAAAAAAAAAAGGCAGTTGTTCATGGAACGGAGGTGATTAGCCACAATTTGCTTTATTTCCTCTTATTCCTAACTTTCGTTTCTCCCCTGTAACACCAGGCAACAGAGACTAGTTGTTTTTCATTGAATGACCACTTGCAAGAATTTAAAACTCCAGGCACTAATCAGTGTGAACTAGGAGCACAGAACATATTATTAAGAAAATTAAATGATGTGGCCCAAGAAATGATGCCCCTAAATATCTAAATCTAGAAACCAAATCCATGAGGTGTTTGGTTGTACATAAGAAAGCAACCGCTATTTTTTCTTTTGTTGTTGTTGTTCTTGTCTGGCACATAACTTGTTCTTTTGTTGTCTGTCACATAACTTTTGCCATTGAATTTGAGTATTCCTTGATGAAAATTCAAAATATGAGACATACTTCACGTGAAGGGATATTGTCTAGGAAAGTTTTCAGTAGAGAAAGTAGCTACCAGCTCTGAGTTCCTTATAGAGAATGTTGTTAAGTGTTGTCAAGTTGGCTCCGATTCATAGAGACTGATTCATATAACGTGTCTGAGGAGCAGCTGATGGGTTTGTACCACTGACCTTATGGTTTAAACCTATCTTTTGGTCCAGTGCATTATCCTTTAGTGCTAAACCCAGACTCCAGTGTTGTTGTTAGGTGTTGTCGAGTTATAGTGGCCTTATGCACAACAGAAAGGAGCTCTGGTAGCGTAGTGGTTAAAAATTGGGCTGTGAACTTCAGGGTCAGCAGTTCGAAACTACCAGCTGTTCTGCGGGAGAAAGATGAGGCTTTCTGCTCCGGTAAAGATTTATAGCCTCGGAAACCCTGTACAGGGTCGCTATGAGTTGCAACCGACTCCACGGCACATAACAACAACAACATGCACAACAAAATGAAACACTGCCCAGTCTTGTGCCAGTCTCACAATCATTGCTACGTGTGAGCCCGTTGCCGCTGCCAGTGTGCCAATCCATCTCGTTGGCGATCTTCTTCTTTTTTGCTGACCCTCCATTTTATCAAGCATGATGTCTTCTCCAGGGACTGGTCTGGTCATCCTGACTTCTAAGGAACATTTTGGCCATACTTCTTCCTACTCAGATTTGTATTTCTTTGTTCTTTTGCCAGTCCATGGTACTTTCAGTATTCTTTTCCAATATAACTCAAGTGCATCAATTCTTCTACAGTCTTCCCTATTCATACAATATACAAATACATATGAAGCTATGTGAAAATACTATGGCATGGGTCAAGTGTATCTTAATGCTCAGAGTGACATTTTTACCCTTGAATACTTTAAAGAGGTCTTGTGTAGCAAATTTGTCGAATGCAGTATGTTGTTTGATTTGTTGACTGCTGCTTACATGAATGTTGATGGCTGATCCGAGCAAAATGAAATTGTTGACAACTTCATTTTTTCCTCCATTTATGTTATTTATTGGCCCAGTAGTGAGAATTTTTGTTTTCTTTACATTGAGTTGCAACCCATACTGAAGGCTGCAGTCTTTGATCTTCATCAGTATTTTAAGTCCTCTTCACGTTCAGCAAGCAAAGTTGTAGAAAATTGGAAGATAGCTACCAGCTCATATTCAATCCTGGGGGTTCGTATAATACAGTTCTCCTTAGGTTTGAAAAGATTAATTTCCTCCTCTTTCCCTATTCCAATATACCTTCTGAACACATGAATACTTTTGTTGTTGTTAAGTGCTGTCGAGTGGGTTCCAATTTATGGCTACACTGTATAGGGTTTCCAAGGAGCAGCTGGTGGGTTTGAACTGCTGACCTTCTGGTTCGCAGTCCAGTGCTGATCCTACATTGCCACACTAGGAGTCCTAAGGATGCTGAGCTCAAACCACAAACAGCGGTTATCTTCTAGAGCCATGTTTGTTGTTGTTGTTGTTAAGTGCCGTCGAGTCGGTTTCAACCCATAGCGACCCTGTACAGGGCTTCCGAGGGTGTAAATCTTTACGGGAGTAGAAAGCCTCATCTTTCTCCCACGGAGCAGCTGGTAGTTTCGAACCGCTGACCTTAAGGTTCGCAGCCCGATTCGTAACCACTACGCTACCAGAGCTCCATCAGAGCCATGTTTAGTTGCTGTTAATAATTTATTTATTTATTTATTTTAGTTTTCCGTAAACCAAAACCAAACCAGTTATCATTACCTTGTGATTTTTCTGAAGTAGATCACCAGATGGTTTTTCTAAACCACCTTTGAGTAGACTCAAACTGCAAACCTTTTAGTTAGCAGTCAAGTGCTTAACCATTTTTACCACCTTGGGATGCCTGTTGTTGCATATGGTTAAATGAATCAGTCTATTGCATAGGATCATCATTGGTCTTCAAAAATCTCCTTTATTTGTTGATTTATTCTTTTTTTTTTTTTCCTTCTGCATTCCCCATTCCTACTCACCTTCCCCCATAGGTAACAATATAATATTATTGTGTTTTCTTAAATGGTTTTGTTTTGTTTGCCTGCATTTTTTATACATCATCATTATCATTAATTTTTCTATAA